ATAAGTTAAAAGATATTAATCTTCATTACAATGGTTTAATGAAAGAGCATTTAAAGTCCCTCATCTCCATTCAAACGCAGACACAGTATTGTGGAAGATCACTAGAATGATCCTTTAGAAAGAATGAAGTACATACTCTGAGACTTTTCTAGAAGGATTGGCTTTATGTAGATTTTAGAGCATTGAAGGATTTCCCCCAGTGGTCAGTTGAGACATATCTGAACACAGAAGGTTAGAAATTTGTTGAATCCCTTGTTTCAGGTTGTGTTTTTCTACCCCTTGAACTATTTCAGTCTGGGAGTATGGAAAGAAAAATTTGGGAGACTGGAACAATGAACTATGTCATTAAAGGTAAATAGAGTAGAGGAGAGAGGGGACGGAGCTCTGCAAATTCACAGTAACTGATAAAATTTAGAATACTGACAAAATATTTCAAAATAATAAATTTTGGCCAGAACTCCAATATCCGAAAAGAGGAAATGCAGCTGCTTTTGGTGGTTAAGAAAGGAGGAAAAGAAAGAATGGTGATGTTTTGAATAAGACATACTCAACTGTACATTGTTGTCTCCTTATTCACCATTCACCTATTACTGTATACAATGGTATATATTCTGTGTCCATTAAGACAAAATGGTAAGTTATAGACATTTAATTGATATCAAACACTGAATTTCACACTCTTCAAGTTGTCTTTAACTGGTACACTTCAAAGTTTAGTTGAATTCAAACTACTTTATTTAAGGAAGGAGGTCCAATTTAAAATGATTTATTTTTTTCATCTTTTTTTTTTTCCTCCTGTTTTCTCGGGCCACCATGCCACATTCTTGCAGAAATGTCTTTAAAGTGCATATCTTAGCTATAATTTAAATTGAGTGCACTAACTTAAATTGCAACATAAATACTTGGAAACTATACTTGGGTAATTTTTCCCCCCCATTTTCCTTCTTTGTTTCTTCCTTAACAAAACTGCAAAATATAATCTCATTGAAATTGGGGGAGGAGGGAGTCCCTTTATATGAACAATATTAATCTTTGCCTACATAAGTACACTCAATTGTGATGTTGATGGTGTAAGCATTTAGTAGCCTTAATGAAATAAATAATTTCTGTGTTCTCTGATATTTAAAATCTTTGTAAAATGAGAGCTCTTTGAAAGTTATTGGTTGCAAAACGCAAAGCTACTGAAAGTGAGGTATCAAAAATGATCCTGACATTCAGACACACAACATGAGTTTTCCTATTAAATATATGTTAAAAGAACATAAGTCTTTTGCTCTGGATAGTCTCTCAACTGAAACAGGTCAAATCACAAACAACTTTTCATTAATCTTTCTTGACCTTTTCACCGAGAGTTATTTTATGAGTCAAGATTTAGTGACTGGCATAGTTATTGAATGATCTGGACAGTCTGCCAGACTCAATCACACACGAGTCATCCACATTCTGTTATCTCCTTACCTCACACTGCAGTTGTACACAAAAAACTATTGCAATCCACACAGATGTAAATGATCTAGGTACTAGGATTTCCTGAATTAAAATTATACAACTTTTCCATTTTGCATCCAATAATTTAATTTACTCATTAAATTCAGACACCCTATAAAGCAATTGGATCTAGGTAAGGTAAAATATAACTAGTTTCAGGTCTTAAGATTCTTTGTTGTGCTTTTTCTTTTTCCTGAGACAGGTTTTTTTTTACCTACAGGCCCTTTATCATCAAGGAAAATTAATCACATTACTGCTTAGAGAACAATAGCAGAGTGGCATTCCCTCCTCTCTTGACTGTCATCATGTCAGCAACGTTAGTCACGTGGTGACTTTATCTCACTTGATTCTTTTAAGGCACCTTCTCTGTTATAATGGCATGCTAGTTACTATCACTGAACTACATGGTAATTATAATAATATTTTATGGCTGTATAGTGCTTTTCATAGCACAAAATACTACTTTGAATTATATCTTTGTTCAAAGCCTTTTACAAATAAGAAATAATTAACCCTTTCTTATAAATCTGTGGGGAGCAGTTTGCAGCAAATAATAAAGGCACTACTTCTATTGTATTAATTCCCTTTACCTACTAGTAGAAAAGGAAACTATAATCTAGCATCCTGCATTCCATCTGAGATTCCAGTAAATTTTCAGTTGGAAGAGACAGGTTACTAAAGACGAGATAAGGACATCTGCATTTTGAAATCACATCTTGATATTCTAGGAGTTTTTATACTAGTCAAAAGAATGACAAGCCTCAGGAAGAAAACTTGATTTACTGTTTTCTGTACTAAATTACTTTTTGAAACATTGGATTGAATAAAATACATCATAACTGTGGTCATTAAACTTTAGCACCAGCATCCCCTGGAGGGTATATTAAGATAGACACTGGCTGACCCCAGTGTTTTTGACTTGGAGCCTGAAAATCTGTGTTTCTAACTATCTCAGAGGATCCAGATGCTGCATTCTCAGGACAGTCACTGTACTATAAAAAATAGAATTTCTGAAGTAATTTAGATACCCCTATCTGAGCATCTATCCATTAAAATATCACTTTTTTTGACAAGGGAAAAATTCCTCCAAAAAAAGAAAAACTTTAAAAAATTTTAATTAATTTAATTTAACCTTTTTTTCCCTCTTGTAAATATACTAAATTCCTAGCTTAGTGGATTTACTTTTAACATGTAAATGTACCCGATTTAATTTTTCACTGCAAAGATCCTAATGGGTCCAGAGAAAGGAAACATTTTAGCAAGGTGAACTGCTGACTTCTTTCTTCTTCACTAGATAAAGTCCAGTGAATCATTTTACAAAGCAGTGTACATACATGTACTTTTCCTCATGCAATCTCTTTGTTCTCAAATGTCCCTCTGATGCTTCTCTCTAGAACCAGTCATGTTTACAGCTATTGAAATTACCTTGTGTGCGCACAGGGTCTGACATAGGGCTTGGGTCACTGAGACCTTGGGGGTTGATCGCTCGGACCATGAACAAGTAGATTGTATTGGGTCGCAATCCTCTCACAGTATAAAGGGTGGTCTTTACATGGTTTGCCACTGTCTGCCAGCTATTGCTCACTGATTGGCTGAAATGCGAACAGAAATTTCATTTAAAGAACAGTCATACAGTTATTGGAAATGGAGTTGGGTAGCAATGACAAAGGTTAATGGCTGAAAATTAAACACACACACACACACAACACTTGAAGTGTTCAGCCCAATAAATGAAACATTTGGATGAATTCAGTTTATTCAACAACAAAGCCGAGCCCACCTAACGGAAGTGCCATGCACAACAAAATTAAACTCAGCCCAGGAGATGTGACAGCCCTTTGCTAATGCACAGCAGCCCACTAAATGAATACCTGTAAAAGGAACAGAGGCCAAGATCACAACATCAAGTTTATACAATAAGTATGGTCCTCATAAATGCATATATATACCTTGAAAAGAATTAACCTGCAGAAAGAATAAATGGACTACAGAGTAAATTATGCCAATATATTTTCCTGTTACAAGGTGTGTTTTCTTTTGCATCAATTCCACATGCAATATTATAATAGAGCCTTCTAAAACTACATATCTGTAAAAGAAGAAAGGAAGCATGTAATGAGTATTTTCCCTTGGTTACATTTTTTTAAAAATTGCACATTACACAGAATTGTGATTTGGCATCTCAGACTGGTGAAAATATCTCTGAATGTGTGTGTGTGTGTGTGTGTGTGTGTGTGTGTGTGTGTGTGAGAGTAGACAGACCTTTTAGAGCCAGATGGATGGATGACATTTTAAAATACTTTGTCTATAGTCAAATGCTACTTTTTCTCACAATGAAGAGAAAATG